ATTCCAGCCTGAGCAAGAGCGAGGCCCCGTCTCTACTATAAATAGAAAGAAATTAATTGGCCAACTAATATATATAGAAAAAATTAGCTTCCCATGGTAGCACATGCCTGTAGTCCCAGCTACTCGGGAGGCTGAGGCAGGAGGATTGCTTGAGCCCAGTAAATTTGAGGTTGCTGTGAGCTAGGCTGACGTCACGGCACTCACTCTAGCCTGGGCAACAAAGCGAGACCCTGTCTCAAAAAAATAAAATAAAAAAAAAAGAGTATTTTATCTTGCCCTTTTTTTTGGCAGGGGATAATAGGGAACAGAGTCTTAATCTGTTACCCTGGCTAGAGTACACTAGTGTCATCACAGCTCACTACAACTTCAAACTCCTGGGCTCAGGCAATCCTCCTGCCTCAGCCTCCCAAGCAGCTTGAACTACAGGTGGACGCCACCATGTCCAGCTAATTTTTGTATTTTTTGTAGAGACAGGGTCTCTCTATGTTGCCCAGCCTGGTCTTTGAACTCCTGGTCTCAAGTGATCCTCCTGCCTCAGCCTCCCAAAGTTTTGTGCCCAGCCTACTTTTTCTTATGTTTGTATTATAAAAACAATAGTTACCCCTTTCTCATATACAGTTATATTATTATATTGAATATGGCTTTCAAACTGCATGTTATCTGTGTTCTGCCAATCTTAGGAGTTTCTGAAATGCCACCTACTCTCAATTAGGAATAATTTCTCAGGTATTGTTACTTTAATTGGCCTATTTAGGGTGGTAAGCTGTATTCCAGCTTGAATTCAAGGAGTCTAGTTAGAAGGATTTATACTAGGACTCAATGTCAGGCAAATAAGTAAATCAGCTAGCATCAAGCTTGAATCAAAGCTCTAAGCCTGATAACTTATTTAAGCTCCCCAAAAGAGAATACTGTATGGAATTCTTTTACTGGAATTGGTCAAGAGCTGAGGTAGATGTGCTGGTATTTCAGTTTATCAAACAACTCACGATGTAATAGGCATTTTGCCAGGGCCAGCACTGCTGTGTCAACACCATGGCGGTTTATCCAGGGAACTTTTTCTCTTCCTGTAATGAGCTTCAGATAAAGCAGACTTTGCTCTTCCCAGCATGCAGCTAATAATGAGTATTTAGGATGTGCCGGGTGCTCTGCTAAGTGTTTTAGCAAACTTTTGACTTTCTCTCATTTAATAAACCTCAAAATGACCTCCGCTATGCAAAAGAGAAACCAGGAGAAGTGAAAGGATTTTCCCAGGGTCTTCTGGTCCATGCCCGCCCGGCAGAGCCGGGCTTGAAGTCTGTTGCTTATGCCGTGTCACTGTACTGGGTGTCATAACCTAGTCCTTCTGCCCAGTCTAATGAGATTCTTTCATTTGCAATAATTGCAAAGCCCTTGGGAATTCTTTACAGGCTCCAGGTTTTTCCTCCGGCTTTGCCCAGATTAGTAAATTTCCTAGAAATAGTGAGATTCTCTGGCCAATTTCCAAGCATTTAAACCTCTTTAGAGTTTAAAGAGTATTTATCTCAGTTTTGGAAACATCCCCTGAAATCCATGAATATTATACGCAAATAATGAAGAGTGTTGGGCTGCTGACGGATTTCACAGCTTCCCTGACCACCACGCGGTCAGCTGGGCAGCAGCCTTTAGCTTTCTCAGCCACCTCTGGACTCGCCATCACGTTCTCATTAGATGTAAGTATTTTCTCTTTTTTTGAAGATTGCCTTTAAGAAAACATTTTGTATTTTGGCAATTTCAGTTTCCAAAAGATTTCCTTCATCAAGTTTATGTTCAGATTTTATAACTAATCCCTATATGCTCCCTCTGACTTCTCCAAATTGTATCCCTGATTCTCCCTTCTTCCTCCCTTAGAGATTCTGCTGTTTTCCTGATTCTATAGCCCTTTCTCCTCTCTAAAACTAAAGAGCAGGACCTGAGATATTCTAGGATGTTTCTCTTTTCCCCCCTCACCCATCTAGGTTGAGACAATGCTGAAAGGTTTGCCAGGAGAGAGATTTTACACCATCTTGCTGTGAGCAGCTGTAGGTTTGTTGTCATTTCTTTTCACTAGACTCATTTATGTCTAATTTTAATTTCTTTTTTCTTTCTCTGTTGTCCTGTGTACCTTTCATGTGTTTTAACAACCCTCTGGTTTTCTCCATTTGTTTAGTTTCTCTGCAACTAACTTGCTTTGCACTTGAGTTAACTCATCTATAAAATGGGCATAATAGCAGTCTTTACTACATCAAAACAATGTTGAGGGGCAAAGGATCATGCCTGTAAGCACATTTGGAAAACAACAACAAAGATTCAGTTGTGAAAAGGTATTATAATCAATTCCAATTTGATGAAAATATAGCAAAGACATTAATATATATGTCCTTTATTCAAGCAATTTTGGATTAAAAAACATGGTACAGTTGCAAGGTTTTCTTGGTGTTGGTTATAATAGGATTTGCTGTGTATCTTTTATCCTTTTGTCACCTTTTGGGCTGTTCTGTGAACCTTCCTTATATTTTCTGTGGTTATTCATGAATGTTGTAGAGTCCTGGGAGGGTCCAGAGTGAGCTCGAAAGAGCTTTCCCCCACATCTCTCCTTTCAGTTCTTGTCTGCTTTCTTGTATCCTGTCCTGTCAGCCTTTGGACTTCCCTTGCCCATCAGAAGGGACTTAGGGAACAGGCAGTCGGCAGTTAGGGTCCTCATGCTAAGCTGAGAGCCCAGCACTCCCTTGGGCCAGCCGCCCTTCCTGCTGTGCGTGCTGGCTCTCTCAGGCTGCTTGGAGCCCCTTTTCCCTGTGCTAGGCTGACACATCCAGTGGCCCCAAGGGCATTTGGGGCCAGTCTCAGAGCTGTGTTTGGAGCTGTGAACCCAGGCTGTGTCAGAGGAAGCGTGGCTTAAGTATGAATTGACCTATCAGGGTAGAATCCAAGGTCCTATGGTCACCTGTGGAAAACAGGTGAAACTCGGAATGCAGCGCCCACTCCCCCTTCTCCTGAGATACCTGAACCCACCTTGGTTGTGAAATTTGGGATGGTAAAATGGGAGTGAATTTAGGCAGAGCCGTGTCTGCCTGTATAGATTAGGGGGCCTGATGCAATGGTCTGAACAGACCTGGAGTCTGATGCTAGTGAGTTATCTGGGCAAGTGAGCCTGTTTTCTACCTGTAAAATGAGAGAAACCTACCAAAAAGGATCCTTCAAGCATTCAAGTGAGGCAGCACTCAATACCAGCTGTGTGTTCACGCTAATTTCTACATCCATGGAGCAGAGAAGATAGCATTGGGGTGTGATGGATGCAGAGGAGAGGGAGGGGGTCGAAAAGGAATGATTATTGCGGGAAGGTGATAAGAGCTATATCTGTGCACCATGGCTAAGCTGTGACAAGAAAGCAGAGAGGTGTAAATGCCAGGGCGGGGGTTGAGAAGCAGGGAAGTTGGGAAAAAAGCCAGGGCCAGAAATGGAGTGTCCTGTCCTGTGTGTCATGCTCCTGGCAGCTGGGCATGAGCCGGCTTCTCATATGAGCTTCCCCTTTTGGGATGGTGGGCCACAGAGCCAGCAGGCCTTGCAGATAGGTATGTGCAAAAGTAGCAGGAACCATTAGTGAACTAGTCAGGAGTAGCTTCTGTCACAGCCACACTCACTGTCCAGTGGTCCAGGGAGGGACTCAGAGTCCAGAGCTTGGTCTGCACCTCGCCGCTCCTCCATCTTTCACTCCTCTGTGTGCTCTCTCCAGTGAGCTGGCTAACTCCATGGGAGCAGGGAGTTATCTCTGCCCTCCTGTGTCTGGTAGTGTTACGGACATTGATGTTCAGCAAACGTTTAAGCAAAAACAAATGTATTCTTTTGGAGCACAGTGTCTTCCTCTGCTCATTAAGTGATGCCACCGATCCAAAAGTTCTTTCCAAGACAAGTCTGGACAGCTCCTTGGGAGGACAGAGTGCTGGGTGTGAAGAGGGCAGGTGCTATAGAACTGCTGCTTCCTGCCACAAAATAATTGTGCTAAAAATTTCATATTATTGGCCAGGCGCAGTGGCTTCCGCCTGGAATCCTAGCGCTCTGGGAGGCTGAGGGGGAAGATCGCTTGAGGTCAGGAGTTTGAGACAAGTCTGAGCAAGAATGAGACACCGTCTCTACTAAAATTAGAAATTAGCCAGGCATGGTGGCATGCCTGTAGGCCCGGCTACTAGGGAGGCTGAGGCAGGAGGATCACTCAAGCCCAGGAGTGTGAGGTTGTAGTGAGCTACGATGGCGCCATTGAACTCTACTGGGGCAACAGAACCATACTCTTGTCTCAAAAAAAATTTTTTTTTTAATTTATTTTAGTTGAAAGTCAGGTTCAACCAAGTCACAGGGCTTGTGTGTGGACTCCTGGTTCAGGGCTCTTCCCACTGCCCTGACACAGAGGTCTGTTCCCTGCCCCTAGGCCAGGCCTTCCAGCAGGGTGCCCGCTCCCCGAGGCGGCTCCTTGTCCCACCCTGCCTCATTCCACATTCCCATCCCGAACACCTGCTGTGTGCCAGAACGTTCCCAGATTACCTGGCGTGTGCTGCTGCTCCGTGAGGCAGAGAGCGAGGCGAAGTCAGGTTCCCCAGAGTGTGCGGGGGTTCATTTCTGGAGCGCCCCTGCTGCCTGGCACGGGCTGGGCACTGTAAATGCCCGTGCGACACGGCGGGAGGGCGCCTCTCCCCGACTTTTACCCTCATAAAGAGGCTCAAGGGCGAAGTAACTGCTTGTTGGCGAAAGCCGGCGGGAGCGGCGCGGGAGGGCAGGGGAAGCGGCTAGTTGGGTGCCGGGTCCTTGGCCGGAGGCGGAGACGGTGCCCACGTGCGGGCAGGGGCGCGTGCGGGGCCTCCGAGGTGAGAGTCCCGACCGGGAACCCGGCGGCGAGGTCCCGCGCAGGGCGGGGCGGAGCGGCGGGGCGGGCTCGGCTCGTGCGGGCAGGCTCCGCCCCGGGGCGCGGGTTTAAAAGCGGGGCAGGCGGGCTGGCGAGGCGGGAGCAGCCCGGGAGCGCGCTGGAGGAGCGGCGGCGGGCACAGCCATGACCCGGCGGGCTGGGGGCGCCCAGCTGCTCGGCGGTCTCCTGCTCGTCGTCCTGCTCGCTGCCGGCGTCGCCTCGCTCAGCTGGGATCCCCCGGAGTCCCGGAGCCGAGCCAGCAAGATCCGAGTGCACCCGCGGGGCAACCTCTGGGCCACCGGTAAGGCTTCGCGGACCCAGGCAAGCGCCCCTCACCCTGCCCGGACCCCATTTTCCTTCTCAACCCTCTGCCCCTCCTCAGCCACAGACACTAGTGTCTGAGCAGGTGGGTGGGGACCCTGAGGCTCACCTAATTTGATAGATGGGAACTTGAGACCCAGACAGGTCAGTGACTGGGTCAAGATCACTCAGCCAGTTTAAGGCACACCTGGGGCTAGATCCTACAACTGACTGCCAGCTGGTGCCCCTTCCCTTCCCCGATTTTGCCCAATCTTCTAACCTCTAGTGTGTCTTCTCTGCAGCCCCGCCTTCCAGGCGCCTCTCCACTTTTTCCTGCCCCTTCCCGCCCCTCCACCGCGCAGGCAGCACAACTAGCAGCGTTTCTCCCTGATCCCGGACTTTCCCACCCTCCTCCCTGCTGTGCCATCTCCCCCACCCCCTCCATTTGTTCAGGAAAAGCCGAGATAGCAGGCTTTGCCACCACCTAGATGTCTTTGTGGCTTGCTTGTGAAGAGGAGGATGAAGCTTTCATATCTACCTGCCATGAGAACTGAAATGTGGGAGAGATGGGGGACTTTACCACTGGAGTAGGATCCTCGTTCCCTGACTTCTTTGTCTCTCGGCATCTCCCTTTTAGGTCACTTCATGGGCAAGAAAAGTCTGGAACTCTCCAGCCCATCCCCATTGGGGACAGCTCCCTACACTTCCCTGAGGGACCAGAGACTGCAGCTGAGTCATAATCTGCTCAGGATCCTCCTGCTAAAGAAAGCTTTGCGCATGAGCCTCAGCGGCCTAGCACCCCCCACCCAGGTGAGCCAGGCCCCTACCCCAGAACCCAGAGGGCTCAGCCAGGGCCACCCCTGGATCCAGCATGGGAGGAGTTACCACCCAACATCGGGTTTAGGGTGTGACTGCCCACCCTTGGGGATGGGAACCCCAGAAAGCCAGGGTTCCAGGCTCTCCCTATGACCCAGGGCTCAAAGGAGGAACACTCTAGAAAAGAGGCTGACCTTCCCAGTAGACACCACGGAGCAAGAATTAAGGAAAGAAGTTCCCCCTAGCTTATCACCCCGTCTAAAGTCTCAGCTGAGGACCATCCAGCCTCTCGCAGCAGGACCTTTCTCCTCCAGAACACACAGCCAGGGTCTCACCCTGGCTGTTCCCTGCTGCATTAGTCCATCTTTGCTGTGCCTCGTGTGTGCGTGTGGCCAGACTGGGACCCTGCGGCCCATAGAGGGGAAGAGAAGTCAGTTAGCCAAGACAGAGCCCGGACCTTGCTCACCTGGAACAGCGCTCTTTCCACTCTGATCTGCCTCAGTAACCAGGGGCAGGGTTATCGATTTCAACACTCTTGACAGTCTGGGCTGGGTAATTCTTTGTTGTGGGGGCTGTTCTGTGCATTGTAGAATGTTAGCAACATCCCTGGTCTCTACCCACTAGATGGCTGTAGCACCTTCCTTCCTCCCAACCCAAGTGTGACATCCATAAATGTCTCCAGACATCACCAAATGACCCCTGGGGGAGAGGGCCCAAAACCACTCTTGGTTGGAAACCAATGACCTGTGTATTTTAAGGCTCCAAAGCTGGAACCAAGCTTGCTTTAATGTCTAGCCTAGTTTAGTGGTGGCTCCTCCATTCTCTGCTCCTAGTGCTGTCCCCACTGCGTACCACCCTCCCTGGTACTTGTTGCTGTGTGCAGAAGGCAGTACGATGTGGTAGAATGTGGGATCTGGCAGCAATGTTCTGGGCTTATAACCTAGCTACTTGAGTAGCTGTGTGACCTTAGAAATGTCACTTAACCTCTCTAAGCCTCATCTTCCTCATCCATAAAATGGAGATAATAATAGGCCATCTTCCATTAAATGACACCATTTATGTCACATACTCAGCATGATGCCTGGTGCATAAAAAGCCCTTAGTAAATGAGAGCCCTTAGCAGTCTGTGAGCTCCCTGGCAGCACCTGTTGCTGACTCACCTTTGTATACCCCACTGTGCCTAGCATACAGTGTGACATTTGAAAGAAGGGAGGGGCATTCCCCAGAGAAGGTCCAACCCCAGACCCAGCCAACATCCCTGACTTCCTGATGCACTGAACCACCAGTCCCTGGGGACCTCAGAGGTAAGGGCTAGGAGCTGGGCTGGCTGAGTCTGAAGGGAGATGATGTCACCTCTAGGACCTAGGGGTTTTTTTGTGTTTTATCTTTTTTTTTTTTGAGAAAAAAAAGTCTCACTTTGTTGCCCAGGCTAGAGTGAGTGCCATGGTGTCAGCCTAGCTCACAGCAACCTCAAACTTCTGCACTCAAGCAATCTTTCTGCCTCAGCCTCCTGAGTAACTGGGACTACAGGCATGCGCCACCATGTGCGGCTAATTTTTTCTATATATATTAGTTGGCCAATTAATTTCTTTCTATTTATAGTAGAGACGGGGTCTCGCTCTTGCTCAGGCTGGTTTCAAACTCCTGCCCTCGAGCAACCTGCCTGCCTCAGCCTCCCAGAGTGCTAGGATTACAGGCCTGAGTCACCGCGCCGGGCCAGGACCTAGGTTTTGAAGGCCTGAAACATGCAGGCCAACTAAGAGAATGTCAGAGGAAGCCGTACCTAGCCCTGGCGGTGGAGCTTCAGATGAGGTCTGGGGCAGAGCCGGGCTGGGGAAGTGAGGACACCAACCCTGGCCCAGCATCAGGCACTGTACTTGAATTGACTTCCACGGTCTTGTTTTGACTGTCATGACCACTCAGTGAGATTGGGGCTGTATTCTGAGAAAACTACTGCCCCTGACCCCTCCCAGCCCTTCAGGGTCCTAGGGGGCCTGCCTCAGCTGACAGCCTGCCCCTGCCCCCTCTGTGGACGCCTAGCACTTAGGAACAGCAGGACACCCCTATCATTTGTCCCCCCCCAGGTAAATTCTTTTGTATGTTCCCCTTCAGTACAGGAGGCTGCTGATGCAAATACTGCAGGAGTGATGCCTATACTGGGGCAGACATGACAACACTGGAAGGTGCTGAATGGGACCCCGGTGGTGGCCTCATGTTGATGTATTCCCGAGCTCGAATCTCTGTTACTCCATTACTGCGATTTCTGCTTGGGCTGCTAGGAATATCGCCGAGGCAGATGCAAACTATGTTCTTGCTGTATTTCTTGCTTCCCTGTTGGAGTTGTGAATAAAACCCTGCTCTTCACATAAAATGTCTGGTCCTCTTCTTGCAGCCACGTTTGGAAAGAATGGGAGGGAAAGAGGGCTGTAAGGCAGGGTGCTCGGTGAGATGGGGCCAGCTCCAAAAAGCCTCGAAGGCTCCACGCCATGGCACCAGCCTGGCCTTGCCTCTGGACTCCTACTCATCCACTCACCCAGCAAGCAGTCAGCGCCTGCTGTATGCCATGCCGGGTCCCCTGCCAGGCGCAGGGTTCTACTCTCGCCTCTGCCACCTCCTGGCCAGGCGAGCGTCTCCCGTGTGTCCTCACCAAAAAGATGGGGTTGCCTACACTCCACTCCCCGGCTCTACCTACCGTCGCACGTCATCCCACGCCAAGCACTGCGGGGAGGGCCCAGCGCACACCGGGCGGAGAGCCGAGTTGGGATCTGCCCTCCGCTCACTCTCCTCTCTGGCCGGGAGTACGGTTGCCCAAGTTAGCAAATAAAAATACAGGACACCCATTGAAATCCTTATTTCAGATAATAGATTCGTCGTATAAAATGTCCTAAACATTGTATAGACATACTCATTTGAAAAAATTATTGTTTATCTGAATTCGAACTTTACCGGGCGGTCCTGTGATGTATCTGGACTTAGGGCACCGACTGCCCTTCTCTGGGCTGCAAACACCTGGTCTTAAAACGGGCGACCATTTATTTGGTCCCTCGGGCTCCCCGCTCGGAGCGAACATCGAAGAAGCCCTGATTTTATGTCACTTTTCCCGGAGCTTTTTCGTAGAGAACCCAGAACCCCGTCCCGGAGCGGGTGCAGCGGCGCTCGGACTCCGCTCGGCCCCGCCCCCAGATCGGCCTCGGCCCCGCCCCCGGATCAGGCCCCGCCCACCCTCGCGAGAGACCCGCGCCTTCCCGGGACCCGCAACGGCGGAAGTGGAGAACCGGAAGCGACGGTTGCCATGGAATCCGCGGAGGAGGACTGGCTGGTGGAATCCTTGCGCTTGTAAGTCGTACGGGGTTGGGAGTCGGGATCTGGGCCTGGAGCTCGCTCTGCGGGCGGGCGGGCGGGCGGGTGCGGACGACGGCACGCGGGGACTCCTGGCGTGGGCTGGGCCGGCGGTGGCCGCGGGCTGGGCGGATGCAGAGGACTCCGCCTGGGCCTCGGGCCCAAGTCTGGGAAGGGCACCCGCCTGCGTGCGCAAGCTGTGTGAGGCGCTAGTAAGAGCGGCGCTTGCGAAAGGTAACGTAAGTGGCCAGTTATTTTGCGCTGTCTTCTGAGTTGAGGCCTGAGCACAGGATTCTCTCATTGATTCCTCACATCAACCTTAGGAAATCTGGGTACCCTGGGAGCTCCACAGATGAGCACCAAACCTCAGGGAGATTACGTGACTGGTTGGTCCCAGACACCCAAGAAAATGGGAAACAAAATCGGTCCCACGTCGGCCTGACTCGTGAGCCTGGGCCCTAACCACCGTACATGCGCTGCCATCTGGGTGTTCTTCGACAGCTCTAAAGTGCTGTGCGCCATGTGACATATTTTGTGTCCCTGTCGTGCAGGTATCAGGATTTCTATGCATTTGACCTCTCAGGAGCCACTCGAGTCCTTGAATGGATTGATGACAAAGGTGATATGCCCTGCCTGGCCCTAAGGGAGAGGGAATTGCACTCCTCATGGTTTCAGGGACTCAGCCTAGAGGGACCCAGTCCACTCTTCTCTGGTCTTGGTCACTTGTAGCAATTTGATGCTGTGTGCATTTACATTTCTCTTCTTACTAAGCTCTTCCATCCCCTGATACAAGGCTGCACACCAACGCGGAAGGAATTTATCCTTGCTTTGGGGGATTTGGTTGGAGTTTATAGGCCCAGCCATGGTCTACAATCTTTCTAACAATTTGTTACAGCTACTTCTGGTTCTTTTTCCAGGAGTCTTTGTGGCTGGCTATGAAAACCTGAAAAAAAATGAGATTCTTCATCTGATATTACCTCTCAGGCTTTCTGTGAAGGAAAACCAGGTAATTTGAAATATAAATGCTGAGTACATGTGTCAGCTTTATTTGTGGAGTTCCTATTATCTACCAGGTAATGTCCTGGATATTAGAAAGAGAGACGCAGGGCCTGCCCTTATAGTCTGATGGGGGGAGGCAAATGTGCACAGAGATCAATGCTGGCAAATATGCTGCGGCAGAGGTCACTTGGCTTCTGAAACAGGAAGATGGGTGTGTGTTCGTTGGCTGGTAGATACCTGCTTTCTGGGATGAAGCTATTAAACCTCTGTGACTCCTCTAAGAAGGCCTGGAGTATAATGCTTGTACTATGGTGAAAGGCTAGAAGGGTTTGGGATGTGCAGGAGACAAAAGGAAGCTGTATATGTAGGCAGCTGAGACCACCATTTCCAAATAGCAGCATATCAAGGCCCTGCAGGGAAAAGAATCTGTCACCAGCTGAGGGATGTCCATGGCCTCCTGCCAGGCCAAGATCTGACTCCTTACCTGGAGTTCATGTGAAATGTTCCCATGAAGAGCAGGCTCTATCTGATTGGCCACCCGCCTGTATTTTAGGGCTTATTTCCAGAAAGAGATTTCAAAGTGCGCCATGGAGGATTTACAGACCGGTCTGTCTTTGATCTGAAGCACGTACCAGGTACCAGGTATGGTGGATTCTGTGACCCAGACCTTCTATTCAGGGTGGGATGGCTGGAAATGCCCAGGGGCATCCTGCGTGTTTATCCCCACCTCTCAGCACATGGCTCGTGTGAGTGCATGCTCGTGCATACGCACACACAGGCTTAGAATACAAAGGAACCATTGCTGTGGCTTCACAGTCCCCCACAGCCCTTTTGACTAATGTAACCAACAGTTCACTGGAGTTGCTCCAGGGAACAGCTAGAGGATAGAAGGATGCTCTTAATGTCTGTGAAAGCTGATGGTGGGTAGTTGGGTGATGATTGCTCAGTTGGGTGAGGCTGAGAGTCTCTGGGTTAGAGCTGTGTGTTCAGGCTCCACACTGGTACCCTCTCTAGGTGATCATCGTGACACGTGGCCTGTCCCTAAAGCAGAGTGAGCCTGCTTGTCATCTGTTAAATGAGGGTGCTGGTCTTGATGATCCTGCAGTAAGATTTCCTGATATGGGGAGTAGAGTCTCAGGCTGAGTGGGCTGGAGAGGGGAAGGGACAAGATGTCTGGACTAAGATTTTTTATCTATCCTGAATAGCTTGCTGGTGACCAGTGGCCTTCCAGGTTGTTATCTGCAGGTGTGGCAGGTCACAGAGGACAGCGGTGAGTGAATTTGATGTGGTGGGGGTTGGGGTTCTAGGACCGTGTGACTCACATACCCCCATCCCCTAATCTGAGCAGCCACTTAAGAAGTAGATTCAGAGTAAGGTGGGAATTAAAATGCAGTATCTACTTTAATGCAAGCAGAGATGAATTAGCAACCATGGCATGACATACATATAGAGCTTCTCGTGACCTACTGCAGGAATTGAGTTCGCCCAGAGAATTGCAGGCCTTTCCCATGGGCAGGAGCAGAGCCAAGGGCAGAGCTAGAGCCGCTCAGGTGAGCTCACCTCTTGGAGGAGGAGGTGGCCGTGAGGAGGTCTTTTCGCAGGCATGCTAGTTCCAGGGAAGGAAAATAGTGAGTGAGCAAGAGGCTAGGCTGGCCAGTCTGCCACTCAGATAAGTCTTTCTGCTTCCCAGCGGGAATAGAGAGAGGAGCAGGAAGTGTTATCTGTCCCTTTCTGGACTGGAGGGGAATTCCCTCATGGGGAATAGTGTGCCCTCCGGCAATTCGTTTGTGGGTCCCCTGTCAGGCAGGTGACAGAGCATGCAGCCCTCTGGCCTGATCCAGCCCCTTCCATTCCTCCTGCGGTCAGAGCGTTGTTAGGTAGCATGAAGTGAGCCTCAAAGGCACAGGCAACTGCTATTGGAACTGTCCTTTTGGTTGTGTGACCCTCTGCCTCCAGTCCCCTGGCTGCCTTACTTGGAAACATCCCAGAAATTGCCCAGCAGCTGTTGGCTTCTCCCCAAGCTTCACTGATGCAGAAAGGCAGTTCTTGTTCTCATTTGCTTTCTGAGGTCACTGTGGGTTTTCCTTGTCGCTTTTCCTGTGCTGTAACATCCAGCTGTTTATATCATTTGTGGTTGTGGTGGTTTATTTTTTTATAGTTTTATTGAGGTATGTTTTACATGTCATATAATCCACCCATTTCAAGTGTACAATTCAGTCACTTTTTAGTAAATTAAACAAGTTGTGCAGCCATCACTATAAATCAGTTTTAGAACATTTTTGTCACGCCGGTAGGATCCATTAGGCCATTTGCTATGAATACTCCTTTGCACACCCTGCCCTGGGCAACTACTAGTCTACTTTCTGTGTCTATAATAGATTTGTCTTTTGTGGACATTTCATATCACTGGAATCATACAGTATGTGGCCTCTTGGGCCTCTTGTGTCCAGCTCGTTTCACCTAGCATAATGCTTTTGAGGTCCATCCATGTCATAGCTTGTGTGCGTAGCCTGTTCCTTTTTATGACGGAATAGTATTCCACTGTATGGACGTAGCACATTTTTGTCTATCCGCTCACCAATTGACGGATCTAATTTTTGGCTATTATGAATAATGTTGCTAAGAATGTTAGTATACAAATCTTTATGTGGACATGTTTTAATCTCTCTTGGGTAGACACTGAGGAATGGAATTACTAGGTCTATGGTAAATTTATGTTTTATTTTTTAGAAAACTTTCAGACTTTTCCAAAATGGCTTCATTTACATTCCTGCCAGCAATGTATAATGGTTCTCATTTTTCTATGTCCTCACCAACGTTTGTTATCATGTGTGTTTTTTATTAATGCCATTATAATGGATGTGAAATTGTATATCACTGTGGCTTTCGTTTGCATTTCCCTAGTGAGTAGTAATGTTGAGCATCTTTTCATGTGCTTGTTAACCATTTGTATATTTGCTGAAATGTCCACTAAGATCTTTTGCCCATTTTTTGATTGGGTTGTTTGTCTTTATTGAGCTG